CCACATGGTCAATGGTTTGCCAGTTGTTGAAACATGGCTGATTTGTTTGTAATTTGTGTAGGGTCCTGAGTGTGTGTGTGTGTGTGTGTGTGTGTGTGTCGGTTTTTACTTTTGAATCTTTCAGAGTGTTGTGTTTCCGTGATAACAAATGTGACAAGTGTGTGCGTGCTGAATGACCGATCAGCGCCCAACGCAAGGCGAACACATCCCCAATGACCGAGCGCTGGGCAAGCGTGGGTCTGCCGCATCACGTGCACCGCCTTCCGCATCCAAGCCTACCACGCAATTGCCGCTGCGAATCACTACGCCAACAGGCGAACCGTTTGGCCAACAGCTCAGTTAAGTGGAGCGGGAGTAGCCAAATGAGTGTTGTTGTTTGTAGCCCATCTGGGCCCATCTGCGACATGCCTGTCATGTTTGTTGCTGTGACTGGATAAAGCCGGCTCACGTACCAGAAAAGAAAGACCGGAGCCCTTGTCCTGTTTGGGCAGTTAGCCAGTTGTAAGGGGAACACTATCATATTCACATGTGTGGTGCCAAGGTGGGATGAACCTCGGAGTGGACGGTTCCGCGTATCAGCAAGTGGACTCGGCAATTTTCTCCGCTGCTTGGATGGTGCCATGTGTGCCCGATGAGGCAACGACCCCATGCTTGGAGTATGATGAACTTGTGCTCGAAACTCCTATGGAGTGCGACACATGCGCGGCCAGAACAAGTGCTACCCCAAACAGCCGGATGTTTAAGGTGGTTTGCCCCACCCTCGTCCCCAACAAGGCGAACAACGGCATGTGCTGCGTCAAGCAGGTGAACGGTAAGCCGTTTGCCGTGCTGACGCGCGGTCTGCTGCGCCTCAACTTGCACGGGCTCACTTAGGAAACGCAGAAGCAAGTCTACGCTTGGTTTTGGAAAAGTGGTTTTACATGCGCTGTGCAAAACAAGGGGAACGCGCTGAGGAGCTTCTGGTAGGGTAATTTTGACTAGATTGCGGCTTCATTTTCACCCTTGACCAACGACACCAACATTCACGTGACGTTTCATGTTTGGCGCAGCCAACATAATCTTCAACCACACGCTTCTAAGCCAAGGGTCGGGCGGGTGTCACTGCCTGAGTTTCTTCTCAATGTTTGCCCAGGCCGGGCGAGAAGTTCAAGGCGAAGAAAGCGGCGCGAGGGAAGGATGCAGCCACTGACCCCTTTGGCCTCGATGCTGATGTCCCTGGCCCTCCGTCATCGCCACGGATGGGGCCTCACGCCTGCGTGAAACGCAAGATGGTGCAGGCTTCGCAGCATGATACCGTTTCCCCATTGGTTTTGAAGACCCCCAAAGATTGTCGCCACCTTGTCAAATAGGGGCGAAAAAGCTGAAGTGTCCCCCCATTTTAAGCGCGTTTTTTAGAAGCTTTGGATACTTGGTTCCAGGCCCATTGTTGTGAGTGTCATCTGTGCTCAGTAATTCTTGGGTGGGGTTTGGGTGTTGAGTGTTGAGTACCAAGTAAACGGTTTACACCCCCCGTGCTCCGTCACGCCACTTGCTTTTGAACCAAGTTGAACACGGTTTTTCAGTTTTTCAGCCGTGCTGTTTACTGGAACCCATGTTTCTTCCGGACCACTGCAACAAACAACCTAGAACACCTACCGTTTTCAACGTTTTCAGATTGTCAATGGCAAAGAAGGTGACGGTAAGACAAGGTGACTGTAAGACAATGGGGTACAAAAAGAATTGAATAGTCTGGCTGCAAGCAATTGGCAGCCAGCAATTCGCTTTGCACGCTGGCCACATTGAGTGACTGACCGCTTTGCAGCGCTTTGCACTGTCTTGCCAGCCGTGATTTTACAAGATCTTAGACTCAAAGAAGACAAAGCACATGCGCTGTGTGCCTGCCTGCGGTGATGCGGCACACAATGGCGCACGGTGTGATATGCCAAGAAATAGCCATGCTGCGTATGCTGGGTGTTGATGCTGACTGCTTGAATGCTCATTGGGCACATGCTTCTTGATTTGCAACTTGCTGAGAGCAAATCAGCTTCCAAGGTCGCTGGCGGCTCCACACGGAGCGGGCAATGATCCATCGAAGTCGGAGATGTCTCAGCACACATCTGACCAGTTTCACCGAGTCGCTGCAAAACATGTTTGATCACCCTGCGTTTTTGCGTTGCTGCCTCAGCTTGGTGTGGAGGGGGTGTGTTTGTCGGTTGCGCTTCAGGCCCAGACCTTCAAATTAGGGCGCTCCAGGCACCCCGGGCAACCCCCTCAAGACGACCCCCAGGCCACAATCCAAGACCACTTCTTGGGCATCACCCCCTAGAGACATCAGCACTTGTCTAATACATACATGCATGCATACATACATACATACATTACATACATACATACACACATTACATACATACACACATTACATACATACATACATACATGCATACATACATACATACATACATACATACATACAGACAGACAGACATACATACATCATTACATACATACATATATACATTAT